ATTCAATCAACAGCAATACAAGTACAACGTTGGCAAGCGGATAGCCTTTTACAAGATCAGGGCGATAGCCAGTTAAGTAATCACCAACATAGTGATCAACAAGACAATGAAACTTTAAGTTTAGAGCAGGCTTGGACAATTAGCCCAGCTTGGACCAGTGATCTCAATGGCGAAGACCAAACCACAGTTTCCAGTTCAGCTCAAGTTGATAAATTAAATACCCAACTAACACAATATCAAGAATTACAGTCCAAATATTTTACCGCAACCAGTTCAGTGCGTGATGCGCAAGTTGGCTATTGGTTTGAATTAAGAGAACACCCTGAAATTGATCAACATGATGGTTCGGATCGTGAGTTCTTAATCTTAGGTAAGACTTTTTACAATCAAAATAACTTACCCAAAGAGTTACAAGATCAGTTATCCAAGCTGCTTAATTTAAATTACTGGAATCATTTAATTAAAGACCAGCGTCAAGCCAATGAGTTGTCCTTGGTGCGCCGTAGAATTCCGATCGTTCCTGAGTATAACCCTTTAGCACATAGACCTTCTGCATTTCCACAACGTGCCAAAGTGGTTGGCCCGCAAGGCGAAACGATTTATGTCGATCAATGGGGGCGGATCAAAGTTCGTTTCCTCTTTACCCGTACCGATGACAATAGTCATGATGGTGGTGCAGGCTCGAATGACAATGATACAGACTCAGCTTGGGTTGATGTATTGACCTCTTGGGCGGGAGAAGGTTATGGCACAAGATTCCACCCACGAATTGGTGAAATCGTAGTTATTGATTTCTTTGATGGCAATGTCGACCGTCCATTTGTGATGGGACGTTTACATGAAGCAGAACGTCATCAAACCATGTTTGATATCAAAGGCCAGTTGCCTGATACCAAAAAATTAAGTGGTATTCGCTCATCGGAAGTGGGTGGATCAGGTTTTAACCAACTCCGCTTTGATGACACCACAGGCCAAATCAGTACGCAGCTACAAAGTAGCCATGCAGCAACACAACTTAACCTTGGGAACTTAAGTCACCCGAAAGATAAGGAAACCAGCAATGGGCGTGGCGAAGGTTTTGAGTTAAGAACCGATGCTTATGGTGCCATGCGTGCAGGCAAAGGCATGCTTATCACGACGTATGCCCAAGAAAATGCGATTGCAGACCATTTAGAAGCAGCACAAGCGCAGTCCTTGTTAAATCAAGGTGCAGAAAGTATGAAAGTGCTGAGTGAAATAGCAGTCAAACAACAAACGGATGCCTTGAATGTTGTCAATCGTTTGCCGAAACTGATTAACTCTTTAGAACTAAAAGGTGCAAATCAGGCTTTACAGGCAACCGTGGGTTTATTTAAAAATGCTGTGGGTAGTGATCCAATTTCAGCACTGAAAAACAGTGGTGATTTTATTGAGGACATCCAGAAATTTGGTAAAGATACCAAGAATATTGTAGATGAATTTAAAGACTTTTTTAATGATTCCAAAGAGTCGATTGAGAACTTAAAGAGTTTTATTGAAAATATTGAAGAACATGGTTCGGATGTTTTAAAAGGAAAATTAACCAGTTTAAAGGACAAGTTTGATTCAGAACCGTTATCCGCTTTAAAAGACGTGGGTAAGGTAATTGCCAATGTTGAAATTAAGGATTTTGATTTAACCAGTGTTTGTGGAACTTTTAATAAAGGCAGTAAATTGGATGTGAATCCGATGCAGGCTTTAGGCTCCTTACAGGGCTTTATGGAGAGTTATACAAAAGACTTAGAAAATAGTGGTGATAGTGCCAAACAAGAGCAAGGTAAGATCTTTCGTCAGGCATTGATGTTACTGGCTTCACCCAATGGGATTGCACTGACAACCCCAGAAGATATTGTCTTACAAGCTTCACAAGATATTGCTGAAAGTGCGCAAGGCTCAATTAATTTGAGTGCACAGAAGAATATTGTCGGTCATGCACAAGATAAGATCAGCTTGTTTGCAGCTCAGAAAGGTTTAAGTGCTTTTGCTGCAAAGGGTCCAATCAAAGTTCAGGCGCAAGATGATTTGATTGAAATCATTGCCAAGAAAGTGATTAAACTGATCGCGACTGAAGATAAGATTGAGCTGACCAGTTCTAAAGAAATTGACTTAAAAGCAGGTGGTACTCAGTTGGTTATCAATGGTAGTGGTGTCTTTATTAAAACTGGTGGAAAGTTTGAAGTGAAGTCGGGGCAACAGTTGTTTACCAGTGGGGCAACAGTGAATGCTGAATTGCCGAAAATGCCTGAGAGTGGAATTTTTAGTAAACGTATCGATTTTAAAAATTTAATACCAGAAAATCTTTTAAATACTGAGTTGGCTTATAAGTTTATTAATCGTACAAAAAATCTTGAGTATGTGAGTGAACTTGATGAAGAGTTTAGAACAAACCGTTTATTTTCAGATGAGTCAGATCAAATAGAATTTAAATTTCTGGATGCTCAAAAAAATGATCAAGGGACATTATTCATTAGCCTATGTGAACCTGATGATGATTTATTTGCAAGTTTGGATGAAAGTGAACATGAGCATGTATGTTGTGATTGTTTTGATGAGGATGAGAATGATGAAATCGTATAAATTTTTGTTATTTCCATTCTTAATTCTACCTATGTACTCATTTGCAGCAAATGATGAACAGCGTAATTTATGTCAATTTAAGCAAAAATTTGATGACTCAATTCCAGCAGATAAATCATTTATTCAGTTTGGAAATGATAAAAAATTTAATGAATTTTTTATCAATAAATTATTTCATGAAACGATTATTCATGATTGTTTATATAGTAATAACAAATTCTATGTGTTGTCTCAGACAACCACTACATCGGTTGAATCTTTAGCACAGTCACTTATTTATGTAACTACCTTTGATCAAAAGGGAACTAAACTGAAAGATCAAATTTATAACAAAGATTGGAGTTGTGCTATTAATCAAAAATTTTTGATTAAGAATCATCAAAAATATATAGATATGTCATGCACAGAAAAAAATAATCTTGATAATGGTCTAATTATTGATCAGAAAAAGTTGAAAAAATATCAAGTCGAGGTTAAATAAAATGGCCTATACCTATGAGGATCAACTGAACTTTGCTGCCAAACTGTATTGCCCAGTTCGAAAAATTGCGTTTCGATATGGCGTACATTGGAAAACGATAATGGCTCAGCTTATTGAAGAAACAGGTTGGGGGAAAAAAGTACTCCCAGGTACAAATAATTTATTCAATATTAAAAAAGCTGGGGGGGGATGGGAAGGTAAGCCCGTCAAACGTTTCACAGTACCTGAAGTTAACGCTAAAACAGGTCAAGTTTATATGGAAGAGGCGGACTTTCGTGTATATGTGGATTATGTAGAATCCTTAGAAGACCGTTTTGTCTGGCTGCTCAATCAATCATTCTATAAAGAATATTTTAGTGATGGTGTTAGAGGAAATCATGAAAAAGAAGTATATGCGTTAGCAAAAAAATTCGCCACTAACCCCAAATATGCTGATAATTTATTGGAAATTCCTCGTGGTCGTACGTTCCGTAGAGCGATAGCACTTGCCGAGTCAGAAGGATATTGCAACATCGTCAATGCAGCAATTTTAGAAGAAAATGGTGATAAATATCGTGATAAAGAAGTGGAAATTTCAGTAGATGGAGAGACTTATTTAAAAAAGAAAACGACTCAAGAAGGGTTGATTGTTGGAATGGTGGTTAAACCACAAGGCAATATTAGCTTCAAAAAAAATAATATTATCGTGCCTGCTCGTATTCCTGTGGTTAAAGGCACAATTAATATTAAAGTACAGCAAAGTGCCACTGTTATTGCAGATAAACTTGAAGAACATCAAGGAAATCCTTCAGTAAATAACGTTAAACAGCAAGAGGTGAATGTTGCTAGTCGTCCGACACCTGCTCCAACAACTACAGCGACAGCTCAAAGTAATGATGTAAGCTTTAAAATTAAAATTATTGAAGGAGATTCTTCTAAGGCAGTACCTGATTTAAAATATGCAATTCGTTATAAAAATAATCTAAAAGGCTATCCGCTTGCCAACGTTGTACTTGTATTGCTGTTGATTGAATTGAGCGCTGGGCGATGAGGCTGGTGATCGTGTCAAAGCGTTCTGTTGCATGACTGCGATGGAAGCGTATACTGCGTCTAGGCATTGCCTCATATTGCGTATTGTCATCAATGAGACGTAATTTCTGTGCCTGAATCTGCGTTGCCGAAATAGGCACAATTCGTACAGACTCATCAACTAACCAGTTAATACCTTCACTGCGCCACAAGCGAGTTAAAAACTCATAATCCGTTTCATTGGCTTGCATTACAAAAGGACGGATATCGTATTGTTTTTTTAAACCACTACTGTCCAGACTTAAACTGGCAGAAAATAAGGCACTTTTCGCTTGCCACTCTTTAAATAAGATTTCCGATATTTCCAGAACACTTTTGTTCATAAAAACACGGCTATTACGACGCTTATGCCAAAGACTGGTTGCATCTTCAAGCGTTAATTTATAAACGCTTAACGCCCCATCACTCTGCCCTTGGCTTGCCCCTGTCACAATTCCAGTGGTTCGGTACAATTCACCAAAATCGGTGACTTGATCAACAGCAACCTGACACCCGATAAATTGTTTTAAAGCAATATGCGCATTGGTTGAAAGGCAGAGTAATTCTGCCTTTAAGCCTTGATTAATCTGTTGTTGCCCCTGAATGCATTGCAAGAATACACTGCTGTTTAAGGCTTGATTTGAGAATTGAACGTGGATCGCTCGTGTTTGTAGTCCCAAGCCAAAGCTTTCAAGTAAGGTCGTAATATTTTTCAGCATTTTAGTTATTGATATTTAATTACAAGTGTCCTTATTTTAATTAAAAATTCAAAAAAAGACACCGATAAATTGTTATATTTTTTAATCAATATTTCTTTTAAAAAAAGGGAAATTATCTAGTAATTTCCCTTTTTATCTTCATGACCTATCAATAAAAGTTAAAACGGAACACGTTTATAATCACGATATTCTGGTTTCCAGAAGTTCTGTTCAATACTTTCTAGCAATTGCTCATCACTGATCATCGGCGCTACACCATCTTGAATAGCGGCTTTAGCAACTTTAAACGCGATAATTTTAGAGACTTGCTGCAATTCATTTAAATCAGGCAATAAATCTGCGTGGATATCTTGCAACTTCGGTGAACAATCTGCCAAAGCTGAACTTGAAGCCATCAGCATATTGTCTGTAACACGGGTTGCTTGAACTGCTACCACACCCAAACCAATACCAGGGAAAATATAAGAGTTATTGCACTGTGAAATCTGATAGGTTTCACCATGATAATTCACTGGGGTAAATGGGCTACCTGTCGCAATCAATGCTTTACCATCAGTCCATTGAATAATATCAGCTGGCACGGCTTCAACTCGTGAAGTTGGGTTGGATAAAGGCAATACAATCGGATATTCACAGTTTTCAGCCATCGTTTTAATGATTTCTTCTGTAAATAAACCCGGTTGACCGGATACCCCAATCAATACGGTTGGTTTGGCATTTTTCACAACATCAAGCAGTGAAATGATTTCCTCAGCATTGCCCCAATGTGCAACATCTTCAGGTTTCTGCGCAAGCTTACGTTGGAAATCTAATAAGTTTGGCTGATTTTCAGTGATTAAACCAAAACGATCCACCATAAATACTTTGGCACGAGCTTCAGCATCCGTCAGCCCTTCAGCAACCATCTGTGCAATAATTTGTTCTGCAATACCACAACCTGCTGAACCAGCCCCTAAGAAGGTAATTTTCTGGTCTTTGAGCTGTTTACCTGCGGCTCTACTCGCAGCAATTAAAGTACCAACGCAGACTGCCGCTGTTCCTTGAATATCGTCATTAAAACAACAAATCTTATCACGGTATTTTTCAAGTAAAGGCATGGCATTTTTTTGCGCAAAATCTTCGAATTGAATCAATGCTTTTGGCCAACGACGTTTAACCGCTGCAATCACTTCATCGACAAATTCATAGTATTCATCCCCACTGACACGAGGTTGCGACCATCCCATATAAATCGGGTCATTCAATAATTGTTGATTATTGGTTCCCACATCAATGGTAATCGGCAATGTATAGGCTGGACTAATACCACCACATGCAGTGTAAAGAGACAGTTTTCCAATTGGAATTCCCATGCCGCCAATACCTTGGTCGCCTAAACCAAGAATACGCTCACCGTCTGTGATCACAATCACTTTGACATTTTTACGGTTTACGTTGTGAATGATTTCATCAATGTATTTACGGTCAGGATAGGAAAGAAATACTCCACGATGACGGCGATAAATATCGGAGAAACGCTGACATGCTTCACCCACTGTCGGTGTATAGATAATCGGCATCATCTCACTTAAGTGGTTTTCAATCAGGTGGTAAAAAAGCGTTTCATTGGTGTCTTGAATATTTCGTAAATAAATATGCTTATTGATCGCTTCACTGAAAGAACAGAACTGTTGATATGAACGTTGACTTTGTTCCTCAATACTTTCGATCACATGAGGAATTAAACCGTGTAAGTTAAATTGAGTTCGTTCTTCTTCTGTGAAGGCTGAACCTTTATTTAATAAAGGCAGCTCTAATAAGGCATTACCTGCATAATGAATATATAGAGGATATTTTTTCAGGGTTTCCGTTGGCATTTCCATTCTCATTGAAGCAGACTGCCTGCTTCTATCTTTTGCTAAGCTACGACTTTGGTCTGATACAAGCTTAAGCCTATTTTTGACTAAATGGGTATTTAGATACGTGATAATGATATTCAAAGTATTTTACAGAATGATAAATTATTCTCAGTTTTACTGATCAAATTCTGGTTTTTATCTAATTTCATATTTTGCCCTAAAATAATGAGCCATGATCACGCCATTAAAACTGCATATTTGTACGCAATTTTGACCAATCATTGATTTTTTTTCTGTTTAGATTTATTTTGTTTAAAATACGATGAAGCTAAACCAATAACAATGAACACAAAGATCTCTCTACTCCTTCTTAGCACAGTCATTGCATGTACTGGCTGCCAAACTGCAAAAAAAGTCTCTTCTGGTGTTTCTAAAACCACTGAAAAAGTCAAAAGCATGGTGGGCTTAGGCGAAGCCAAAGTTCCAGAAGTTGATCAGCAAGGTGTGGTTGATGTCAGTAAAGCCACCCTCGAAAAACTAGAACAAATGAAGATCAATATGCCCACTGGACAATGGGTCTATATTGAAAATGATCTTCAAGGTATTTACACCTTACAAAACAAATCCAGTGATGGAAACGTCCTATATTTGCGTTTGAATTGTAAGATTCCTTCGCAGAAGTCTGGTTTTGCGATTGAAGATAAAGATGGTAAAGAGCTGCTTAAAGCACATGATGCGCAAACCGGTCAGGTTCAATTTTTAATCGACAATAAAAACTATGGCAATCCATTTGACTTAGTCAATGCGAAAAAAATGCCGACATTTAAAACGGCACTGAGCAAAGCCAAAGTGATTAAAATCTTTAACAATTCCAAACTTTATACCTTTACAAATGGCCATGCTGAATTGCTTAGCAAACCTGTCACATGTAAAGAGTAGATCCATTATTTAGGCATATCCACAAATACGGCGGTTAAACGTCGTACTAAGGGTAAAACAATCAGAACCACAGGATATGCCACAGCCCATGATACCATCCATGCAGCAAGCCATTTGACCCAAAATCCTTTAATCAAACCCACATTGATCAACATATTAATCAATGACACCATGCCACTCATTAAACAAGATAAGAACAACGGCATAATCCATGCTGCAAATTTTGCAGGGAGTTTTGGGATATTGCCAATAATTGTGGGCGGAGTATTTGACATATATCGCTCTAAATTTACAAACAGGACACATTTTATTCCTTTAATGAACCTGAAACAATTAATCCTTCCACATAACATCGGCCACATTTTGCCATTTGATTTGATTGGACAAATTTAAAGGCTGATCATAGAGCTCAGATATCACATTGATTGCATCATCGAGTGAAATAATTGAATTTAAAGGGAGCCAGGTGTCATCACCAACATCAAATAACGCTAAGTTCAGATCTTCATTGCAAGACAGCCACGACTCGCCTTGTTGGGTAGTAGGGATATTTTTATCGTAACGCAAAATCAAGTGAGTCGTATCTATCCACCAAAACAATAAAATGATCTGACCTTGTTTTGGCATATCTAGCGCAAGATAACCTGAATTTGAATATTCCAAGTCTGTGGCCTGAATCTTCGCAAACAACTGTATAACTTGTTCTTTTTCTATAATCTCATGATCGATTTGATCTAGAAAACTCACAAACATATTTTTTATCCTGTGATTAAAGCAGTGTAATCCGTCAAGTCCATTTGAAATCTAAACGCCAATACACAGTGAAATTGAGCATACCGACATTTTTCTTATTGAATAAGTTTTATTCTATACAAATGCATTCACCTAAAAGGCGCAAAATTTGCTATATTTAGCGTTTTTCTGCGACATTTATTTCTCTATAGATTATGAATACGGCCATACAAGCAGCTCTTGATCATGCAGTGCAATCCCTACAAGCTGAAGGGACTCTTCCATCTGACTGGAAAAACACGAGTGTTTTAACGCGAACTAAAGACCGAAGCCACGGTGATTTCGCATCAAACATTGCCATGATGGGCGCTAAAGTTGCTGGTATGAAACCACGTGATCTTGCAGAGAAAATTTTGGCAAATTTACCCGAAGTGGTCGATATTGCAAAAGCTGAAATTGCGGGTCCTGGTTTTATCAACTTCTTTTTAAATGCCGATCAGCGCTTTACTGTGTTGGATCAAATCCAAGCACAAAAAGAACAATTTGGTAAAACCCAAGCAAATGCAGCCAAGAAAATTCAGGTTGAATTCGTTTCTGCAAACCCAACCTCTAGCCTGCATGTAGGTCATGGTCGTGGTGCCGCATATGGTATGACTGTTGCAAACTTACTTGAAGCAACAGGTGCCAAAGTTGAACGTGAATATTATGTCAATGATGCTGGCCGTCAAATGGACATCCTCGCCACATCAACTTATTTACGTTATTTAGAATTAAGCGGCCAAACTTTAGTTTTTCCTAAAAATGCTTATCAAGGGGATTACGTTAAAGAAATCGCCCAAGGTATCATCGACAAACATGCTGATGCTTATGTACGTAGTGTGGCTGATGTTTACAAAGATGTTCCAGAAGATGTGCAATATGCTGAAGAGCTTGATGCCGATGGCAATAAAGTGGTTGTTTCAGGCGATAAAGAAAAGCACATTGATGGCTTAATTCACAACTCACAAGCTTTAGTGGGTGAAGGTTATCGTGTATTCCATCAAGCAGCTTTACATGCCATTTTAGATGACATTAAAGATGACCTTGGTGAGTTTGGCGTAACGTTTAATCACTGGTTTAGTGAAGCATCTTTGGCTGAAAAAATTGATGAAGCCTTACAAACATTAGACCAACGTGGTTTTCTTTATGAAAAAGATGGCAACATTTGGTTTAAATCAACTGAATTTGGTGATGAAAAAGACCGTGTAGTCAAACGTCGTAATGGCCAAACCACGTACTTTGCCTCTGACATTGCCTATCATTTAAATAAATTACAACGTGGCTTTACTGACCTTGTTGATATTTGGGGTTCAGACCACCATGGCTATATTGCACGTGTTAAAGCTGCAATTGACGCGATGGGCTATGACTCATCTAAATTGACGGTACTTTTAGTGCAGTTCGTCAGCTTATGGCGTGGTGGTGAGATGGTACAAATGTCATCTCGTTCAGGTCAATTCGTGACATTACGCGATCTTCGTAAAGAAGTCGGCAATGATGCAGCACGTTTTTATTATGTAATGCGTAAATCTGAACAGCACATTGATTTCGATTTAGATTTAGCAGTATCTCAAAGCAAAGACAATGCCGTGTATTATATTCAATATGCACATGCTCGTATTTGCCGTATGTTAGAAAAAGCAGCAACAACAAACATTCAATTTGATACTGAAAATGCACGTCAATTTGCTGCAAAATTAGAACTTGATGCTGAAACTGAAATTTTAGCGAAACTCGCGGCTTATCCTGAAGTGCTTATTCGCGCTGCAAATAATTATGAACCACATCAAGTTGGTAATTATTTGAAAGAACTTGCTGCTTTATTCCATGGTTGGTATAACGAGAATAAAGTACTGGGTGATGATGCGGAATTGACTCAAGCCCGTTTATTGCTTTCAGCAAATATCAAACAAGTCTTACATAATGGTCTTGAATTATTGGGTGTCTCTGCACCTGAAAGTATGTAAGTCAAGAACTGCTTTACATGTTCCCAAGACCAAGGTCTGGCTCAACGTAAGCATTGAAGTGTGTAATAAATCATTACTTTACATCGTGTTCAAGCAAAACTATGCTTGAACACGATCTAAGCAATACATAATAAGAGGGTTCCACGTGTTTGGAAAAACGCAACGCGGTGTTTCAGAAAGGCCAACCAAACCTAAACAACCATTGATTCCTAAATGGTTAGGGATGCTTGTCGTCATTTTAATCGTGTTAAGTTTTGGTGTCGCACTGATGCTCTGGAAACCGTGGGCACCCGTCCAACCCAAAAATGAAATCACGTCTGAGCATTATCAAGAAGATACCAACAAAGACTATCGTTTTTATGATCTGTTACCCCAACAACAGGTTACCCCTATTCCTGAACAAGCTGTTCCTGAAAGCAGAAATCAACAACAACCTGTAATTGTTGAAGCGCCCTCTCAATCTGAAAATGTGGATGTCGGTGTAAATGCTGAACGTACAACACCTGTTCAACCTGAATATATTCTTCAAGTTCGTAGTTACGATGATCCTGATGCTGCCGATGCACGTCGCGCTGAAATTATCTTAAATGGTTTATCTGCCGATGTGGTTCAAAGCACAGAAGCTGGAAAAACTTGGTATCGTGTGATTTCAGGCCCTTACGAATCACAAAATGCAGCAGTGATTGCCCAACAAACCTTACAACATAGCGGTATTGACTCTATCGTGGTTAAACGCTGATCCAATTTTCAGGCATGACCTGATTAATCAATCGTTAAAACAGGATGCTTTGGCATCCTGTTTTATTCTTCAAAATCGTTTTTTTAACCTTGCTTAGATATGTGGGCAAATTGAATATTTTTTACTCAAAAGAAATATAATTCGATAAAAATTTACCCAAATTGATCAAAATTAGAGTAATCTATTTTCCGCAATACATTACCCATGTCGTTGCCGAGATATCAAAAGTCACCAATACTTTTGATTTGCTGTCCTGTGATTGGCGTGACGATCAAATCCGAAGATTACAGGGCGCTCAGAAATCCACATGGGTAAAAGCCCACACCAATAGGCATTCAGCCAATTTCAAACAATAAAACAGTTCATCTAAACTTCACTGAAAATTCATTCGCCTAAGTATTTCAATTTGAGTACACTCCTATTGAGATTATGAGTTTTTAAATGCAATGTATAATAAAAAACAGATTTTATGTGTAGAAGATGATGCTGCTATTCTTATGCCGTTACGTTACGCACTTGAACGAGAAGACTGGCAAGTGACTTGGGCCAATTCAGGCCTGCAAGCCATTGATTTTATTCAACAGAAATCTTTTGATTTTATTATTTTAGATGTCGGATTACCTGATTTAAATGGTTTTGATGTCTGTAAAAAAATTCGTCTCTTTAATCACACACCCTTGCTATTTTTAACCGCACGAGATGACGAAATAGATCGTATTGTGGGTTTAGAAATTGGCGCAGATGACTACTGTACCAAGCCATTTAGTTCGCGTGAAATTGTGTCTCGGATTAAAGCCATTTGGCGCAGAATGGAGATACAAAATCAGTTACAGCACACCTCACAGCCAAATACACAGCTTTCTACAACACCAGCTAAAGTTTGGCAATGCAATGATGAGGCTTTGCAAATCCATTACTTAGGTACAATACTCCAGCTGACTCGCTATGAATATCGCTTACTTAAATTATTGATTCAACGCCCTGAACAGGTGTTTAGCCGTCAACAATTGATGGATCATGTATGGGAACATCCTGAGCATAGTTTAGAAAGAACAGTCGATACTCATATCAAAAGTATTCGCAATAAACTCAAGCAGATCTCTCCTGAGCAAGACCCGATCGAAACCCACCGAGGCTTTGGCTATAGTTTAAAAAGGCAAGGATAAACCATGTCCATTTTTATTCGTATTTGGTTCTTCTTTGGATTGATCATCTTGCTGGGTTTATGGTTTATGTCTTATACCTTCAATCAACAAGTAAAGCCCAATGTACGACAGGTCGTAGAAGATACCCTTGCGGAAAATGCCAATATTATCGCGATGTTAGTGGCTGAAGATGTCTATGAAAATAAAGTCAGTACCATTCAGTTTGATGAAAAAATTCAAAAAGCGCTGAATCGAAAACTCAATGCCACGATCTGGAAACATAATAAAAATGAGATCAATCAACAAATCTATATTACCGACAACAAAGGTATCGTCATTTATGACTCACAAGGTATCGCTACAGGACAAGATTACTCACGATGGAATGATGTTTACCTGACCTTAAAGGGAAAATACGGCGTTCGCTCTACACGCAGTTATGAAAAGGACAGCAATAGCAGCACTATGTTTATTGCAGCGCCAATCTATTATCAAGTTGGTCAACAACAGCAATTGATTGGCGTTGTCAGTATTGGAAAGCCCAATATTTCAGTACAACCTTATATTCAGCGTGCTGAAAATCAGCTGATCCGACAAGCCGCTTGGATTACATTACTCAGTCTGTTTCTTGCCAGTTTGGTGGCCTATTGGCTAAAACACAGTATTGACCGTGTCCGTAAATACGCGCAGGCACTTGCACCTGTCAATCAAACCCCCTATTTTCGTTCGGCAAAAGAACTCAATCAAGTTGCTCAAGCAGTTGAAAATATGCGAGAAAAACTCGAAGATCGTGCTTATGTGGAACACTATGTCAATACACTGACCCATGAACTCAAAAGTCCGCTTACCGCAATTCAAGCCAGTGCAGAACTACTCAAAGAAGATTTACCACTAAATGATCAACAACAATTTGCCACGCATATTCATGAACAAAGCCAGCGCTTACGTAGCCTGATTGATCGAATGCTCTTATTAACCCGTCTGGAAAAATCTAAACATCAAATTGAAATGCAAGATTTCAATTTATCTGAACTGATTCAACAGACTTTAGACCAGCATGCCAGTCAAATTCAAGCCAAAAAAATCCAGTGTTTACTGGATATTGAAGCCAATTGTATGCTTCGTGCAGATCGATTTTGGATTCAACAAACCCTTGCCAATATTTTAGATAATGCGCTGGATTTTTCCACAGCTTCAGCAAAAATCCTGATTCGGCTTCATCGTCAAACACACCAGCAGATAGAATTACAGGTTTTTAATGAGGGCGAATGGATTCCAGATTATGCACTCACGCAAGTGTTTGATACTTATTTTTCCTTGCCTCGTCCGATTAGCCAACAACGCAGTTCTGGTATTGGACTGAGCATTGTTAAACAAGTCATTGAACAACACCATGGACAGATTCACATTGGCAATATTCAAGGAAATGAAATCACCATCTTACAACCCCACCAAAAGGGTGTATTGGTAAAAATTCAATTGCCTTAGCACGACCAAACTTCACTTAAAATTCATATAAAAAACCTATACGCCTCAAACAAAGCACATTGCTGTTTCGCACACTCAACACTGACAACAAACAACGGCGAAGGAAAACAGTGATGCGATCCAACTTTATTACATTCAAAATTATTGCAATCGCAATTTTAGTTGCCTTATTTGGGATAGGCTTACTCTTTATTACCAGTCTGGTCTCAGAACGACAAGATTATCAACGGGCATTTCTGAAAGAAATTGCACAAAACAATATTAGTCCTCAAACCGTGATTTCACCGTATATCCGTGTGCCCTACAATGAGCAAAAAAACTGCCTCGATGAAAAGAAGGTGGCCTATTTGTGTACTGAGGAACAATGGCTATATATTAGTGCTGACAGCACACAATGGTCATCCAACTTTAATGTTTCTGACAACACTTATAAACGCACCATCTATCGAGCAATTAGCTACACCGCAAATCTCATGGCCAAAGGCGTATTCCAAAAACCAACACTTGAAAAGAAAGATTACCAATGGGAACGAGCTGAAATTATCTTCCCTGTACATGATCCTCGCGGCTTAGATACCCAACCGAACTTAAACATGCTCAATAAAAGTTATGCTTTTGAAATGAGTGCTCAAGGCAGTAACAGTTCTGGTTTTGACTTTATGTATGTTTCTGCAAAAAAGTATCCTGAATTAATCAATGCCATTCAAAATGGTTTCACTTTTGATTTAACCGCCAATATTACGGGTCTGGGAAAATTCACCCTGATCCCAACCAGTCGTAGTGTCACTTATCAGGCCAAAGGCAATTGGGCGGATACCAAATATTCAGGACAAAACTTACCTTTTGCAAAAACCAGTACACCGCAACAATTCACCGCACAATGGAAAAATATTGCTCTAGGTCATCAAAACATCAGTAAATTGATTGATTGCGACAACAATGAGTGTATTCGCCAGTTTAGTAATGGCTATTTTGGCCAAGAACCGGCTTATATGGGAGAACCTAGTCAAAGTATTGGTTTATCAACAGAATTCCTAGAATCAGTCAATGTCTATACACAAACAGATCGTGCGATTAAATACGGTATCGTGATTATCATCATCACCTTTGCTTGTTTCTTTCTCTTCGAAGTGCTTAAAAGCTTACGGATTCACCCCATTCAATATTCTTTGGTGGCAATGGCTCAAGTGGTGTTCTTTGTTTTACTACTCTCAATCAGTGAATACTATGCCTTTGCATGGGCTTATTTCGTTGCTGGAATTGCCTGTGTCGGGCTCATGAGTTGGTACTTATACTATGTGATGAAAGGTTTTAAAGCCGCTGGCCTATTCAGTATCATCCTGAGTTCACTTTATGCCGTGATGTATATGCTATTGCAATCTTCAGGCAAAACCTTCCTAATTGGCTCTATCATTTCATTTGTTTTACTTGCTGTAGTGATGTTTATTACACGGCATATCGACTGGTATCAAATCAACAATAAGCCTGAGCAAAAACTTAAATCCTATACGCCTCCTCAAGCTTGATAACGGCACAGTGAATAGCTCAAAGCGATTCACTGTTTTAAAAATAAATTCTAAATAATAGGTATTTCAATGAATATTTCCATACCACAGGAGCAACAACACTTTAAGCAGTTGCAACAACTTTGTCCTCTGCAATGTTCAATTGCATTTTGTTTGAATCAGTTGCGGGGTGCGCAGATTCAATTTTTAAATTTAGGCAGTTTCATTATTTGCCCAGAATATAACTGTTTGATTATTTTTAAGTATAAAATTCTCATTCGTATAGATAGATTCACCAACAAGCAACAAAGTTAATTTGCAGATTGTAAATGATGACGTAAAATTTAAAACATAAACAAACTTTGAGAATGATCATGACTGTACAACGTTTGCACGTAGAAAAACGCTTTTCTGAAATTGCAATTTCGGGAAATTTAGTTCACTTGGCGGGTCAATTGGCTACGGATTTAAGTTTGGATATCAAAGGGCAAACTCAACAGACCTTAGATATCATTGATCGTTTTCTTGCAGATGCGGGCACAGATAAAAAACATATTATGTCTGTGATGATTTTTTTAAAAGACATCGAAAATGATTATGCAGGAATGAACGAAATCTGGGATGCATGGTGTTCAGATATGCAAGCTCTGCCGAGAACTTGTGTAGAAGCAAAGCTTTATCGACCTGATGTTTTAGTTGAAATGACGGTTGTTGCGGTCAAACCAGAATAAGCTCAATACTAAATTTTGAATGAACTAAAAAATGCATGTTTAAACATGCATTTTTTGCTTAGCTATATGCGCGATTTGAGTACAGATCAAACTTCCCCAGTACATGTTCCTCCAACATTTGCGAATGGCTCATTTCTGAAAATTCTGTTAAAAAATCTTCTCGCAAATCCTGATACTCTGGAATCCCCATATAACGAATCACACGATAACCTGCCGACTGTAACAAGGCATCTTCATAGGTATTTTGATTCGAGCGCTTAATCGCATTGATATCATCTAAAGCAATCACAGCTAAAACTTTATAATCTTTGTCCAGCACAACAAAGTCTGCAAACATTTGCTGATACTTACGACGTGTATGTAAATATTTTGTCGTTAACAAGGCATCAAAAGATACATGAGCCAAGATATTGGCTTCAGGTAAAATTTCTTTTAAACGCGTAAACGTAATTTGTTCATGTGAGTTAAATACTGCTCTTCTTCGTAAAGCACTATCTGCTTGTTGCTTATTTTTCAATCCTTTATAAGCAGCGGCAATCACGACAGCAAGTAATATCAAACTCGCAACGATTATCATGTCCATTTTTCATTTCCTAATTCTTTATTATAATTTGGTCTACGACCAGTTCTTGTGTATCAAAGATACTATTTTTAATCAGTTCAATTTTGTAATATGCCAGACGCATTCTCATATTTGCTTTTTCAAAATACTCAAATAAATCACATTTTTAACTTATTTATTGAACTATTATTTGTTTTATTCACTTAGTATTTCAACCAAATGAATTGAATTACACGTCATATATATCGCGTATTGAATGCGAATACAACTGAATTTAATGAATCTTGCGTACTATTGTAGGACAATGATATTCGAGAATTGTGTGTTTTTAGTACACTAAAGTTTTCAACAGTTTACAGACACTTATCCACAGTTAGGTATTTTTATTATTCAATTGCTAATTTAAGAAAGGATGCTTAGGCATCCTTTCTTATTACTTTCTCAAACAGCAACTAAGCTCTGCTTTTTGGCTTAGACTTTGCTTTGCCATTTCCAGAAAATGGTTTTTTATCACCTGTTTCGCGCGGCGGTAAACCTGTATGTTGTGTCAATATTTGACCACGCTCAGGACGCTTTTTGGTATTGGAAGGACGCGATTGAGTTTTCGCCTGTGAATTACGGCTATCCCCAGTACGCTTTTGCGAATCACCGTCAACAGTCGAATTTTTCTTACGCGCAGATTGGTATTGCCCTTCAGTTCCTTGCGGTTGATAAGTTGGAATCAGATGATGCTTAGAGTTACCAATCAAATCTACCCGGCCCATTTCACGTAATGCATCACGTAGTAATGGCCAGTTATTTGGATCATGGTAACGCAAGAAGGCTTTGTGTAAACGACGACGCTTTTCACCTTTTACAATATCCACACTTTCGGTATAACGAGCCACTTTGGCCAACGGGTTTTTCCCCGTGTGATACATCGTGGTCGCGGTCGCCATTGGTGATGGATAAAAGGTTTGCACCTGATCGGCACGGAAGCCATTTTTCTTAAGCCAGATCGCAAGATTCATCATGTCATAATCAGTCGTTCCCGGATGCGCAGCAATAAAGTACGGGATTAAATACTGTTCTTTACCCGCTTCCTTACTAAAACGATCAAACATCTGTTTAAAGCGATCATAGGTCCCGATTCCCGGTTTCATCATCTTCGATAATGGACCTTTCTCGGTATGTTCTGGTGCAATTTTTAAATAACCGCCAACATGGTGTTGAACCAGTTCTTTGACATATTCAGGGTTCAATACCGCAAGGTCATAACGTAAGCCTGAACCAATCAGAATCTTTTTGATGCCTTTTAATGAACGTGCTTTGCGATAAAGTTGAGTAAGTGGTGCATGGTCGGTATGTAAATTTTGACATACACCTGGATACACACAAGAAGGTTTACGACAGTTCTTTTCAATCTCAGGATCTTTACATTGCAAGCGATACATGTTTGCAGTTGGACCACCTAAATCTGAAATGATGCCTGTAAAACCTGGGGCTGTATCACGAATTTTTTCAACTTCACGTAAAATTGATTCTTCTGAACGGTTTTGAATAATACGACCTTCATGTTCGGTAATCGAACAGAATGTACAACCACCAAAACAACCACGCATGATATTTACAGAGAATTTGATCATATCAAATGCAGGGAAACGCGCTTCACCATAAGCTGGATGTGGTAGACGCGCATAAGGCAAGTCAAACACATAATCCATTTCTTCGGTGGTCAATGGAATCGGTGGTGCATTTAACCATACATCACGTTCACCATGCTTTTGTACCAATGCACGAGCATTCCCCGGATTGGTTTCAAGATGCAAGATGCGGTTGGTATGTGCATAAAGTACAGGATCCGTTGCCACTTCTTCAAAAGCAGGCAAACGAATCACAGCCAATTCACGCGGCGGTAATTTATGTTTAATTGCTTTAGATGTCGGCAGTAAACGTACAATCTGGGTATTCTCATCCAGTTGATCACCTTCACGAACAACAGGATTTGCCACCAATTCTTTTTGGAAATTTTGATATTGGGTTAAAGAATTTCCTTTGCCTTGTTCAATTTCACAACCATCTAAATCTTCAGTCATTACATATGGATTGATGATTGGGTCAACACGACCAATCGCATCAACATCATTCGATGCAATTTCAACAAACTTGGCTTTAGAAACACGATTAATTTTATTGACGATGAATGCCGTACCACGAACATCGGTGATTTCATGAATTTTTTCGCCTTTGGCAAGACGATGCATAACTTCAACAACAGACCGTTCACCATTGCCATACATCAATAAATCCGCTTTGGAATCCATCAGCACTGAACGACGAACTTTGTCTGACCAGTAATCATAATGTGCAATACGGCGTAATGATGCTTCGATACCGCCCAATAATACGGGTACATCAGGAAATGCTTCACGGCAACGCTGACAATATACAGTTGCTGCACGGTCAGGACGTTTATTGGGTAGATTATCTGGTGAATATGCATCATCAGAACGGATTTTACGGTCAGCCGTATAGCGGTTGATCATAGAATCCATATTACCCGCGGTCACACCCCAAGCAATATTCGGTTTACCTAGCACTTTAAATGCTTCAGCAGAAGTCCAATCTGGTTGTGCAATAATCCCTACACGGAAACCCTGTGCTTCAAGCGTTCGGCCAATAATTCCTGAACAGAACGATGGATGATCGATATAAGCGTCACCACATACTAGGATAAAGTCACAACTATCCCAACCGAGTTGATCCATCTCCTCACGTGACATTGGCAAAAATGGTGCTGGTTCAAAGCACGATGCCCAATATTTGTCATAATCAAACAACGCAGTAGGCGCTGTCTGAGCAGTATAAGCGGTCGACATGGTGAGTTTCTCGATTGGCAGTTGGCGATCGGGAGAGATCTAAAATGAAAGTTGATCATTTTACCATGAATTTTACTCATGTTGTTTGATTAAAAAGTAAACATTTTCTCTTGGTCTTCTATTTGGTCTGTTATTGATAGCTTTTTAAGATGTTAAAGATATTCGTCATCCGTTATAAAAGGAAAATTTACCTATCATGATGGATCGTTTAAAAGCGCAGCGAAATTGAATAGAAAAGCTTATTTAACGCTATTTAGATGCAGCCGCTCATACTTTTACCTGATCTTTATGAAGTGTTTGATTTAGTTTTAAAGCCACCAAGAGCCCGATACAAAGTACACAAGTCATCGTAACTGTTAGGCCAAACCATCCATATTTTTCCCAGACTAAACCACTACTGCTGCCCAAGAAACTTGAACCAAGATAATAACAAAATAGATAAAGCGAAGAGCCGACTGCACGATATTGTAAGGATTGTACTGATACCCAACTGCTTGATGTGGAATGTGCGGCAAAAAATGAGAAAGTAAAAATCAATAGGCCAATCAAGATCACCCATAATGATGGAATCAGCATCATCCATAACCCCAGAATCATGCTTGAGAACATCACAATCAGTACCTTACCTCGTCCAAATTGACGACTCCAACTGGCTGCACGAGGTGAACTATAAATGCCAGATAAATAGGCAATCGAGATTAAACCAATCCATGTTTGTGACAATTCAAAAGGTTTTTCTAACAGATGATAACTCATGTAATTAAACACGGTCACAAAGCATCCCATCAGAATAAAACCTTCGACAAACAATAGTCTCAGCTTTGGGTCAGAAAGATTTTTCTTAAAGGATTCGATAAAACGTGTGAATTGAATGGGATAAGATTTAAAGTGTTTAGAGGCAGGTAAGGCTATGTAAAATGTAATCGCGATCAATAAATTAAGTAGACCAATAATCATCGTCGCAGTTTGCCAAGAGATATAATCCAGCAATACCCCTGCAATCAAACGCCCGCCCATTCCCCCTATTGCTGTCCCTGAAATATACAGTCCCATGGCAAAGCCAACATCTTTTTGTGCAATTTCTTCACCGATATAGGTCATTGCAACAGAAGCAACACCACTGACAGCCAAGCCAATCATCATGCGTGTTGCAAGAAATATTTCCCAATACGGTAAAAACGAACTTAGCAATAATAAGCTTGCGGTGGAAAATAAGGAAATGGCCATGATCTGCTTACGACCATAACGATCTGAAATCAGTCCTGCAAAAAGAAGCCCTAAGGCTAAGGCAATGGTGGAAAATGAAAGCGGGAAACTACTATGGGTTGGCGTAACATGAAAAAAACTTGCCAAAAACGGCATCATCGGCTGAACACAATACAACGATGAAAATACAGCAAAGCCAGCTAAAAACAATGAAAGTAAAATTGCGATAAAAGGCCGAGTGCCATACTCAATATAAGCTGTAGATTCAGGTGCTTCAGACATAATTATTCCTCATGTCCGTTCAGTATACGCCTATTTTTAACTCTTGATAAAAGCTAAAGTTTTATTACAGACTATGTCTTGATGATTCAAATAAGATATGAATCTTAAATATTTGATTTAAAAATAAAATTACATGAGAAAATGCAGAAATTAGAAAATAAAAAAGAGCATATTTTTAATACACTCTTCTCGTAATTTTTCAATATATTGAGGTTAAATTTAACCAGCAAAAATCTTAAACTTTTCGTTCTTCAATATTTAGTGCATTGATTGCGAGTACCGCTTGAGTACGGTTCTGTACACCTAATTTACGGAAAATTGCCGTCACATGCGCTTTAATGGTCGCTTCCGAAACATCAAGTTCATAAGCAATTTGCTTATTCAATAAACCTTCTGCAACCATCATCAATACACGGAACTGTTGTGGTGTTAACGATTGAATACGTTCAGCTAAAGCTGTTTCATCTGCAGCACGCGGGTCAAAATTCATATTCGCTGCGGGTAAGTTTGGTGGTAACCAAATATCACCATCAAGCACTTGGCGAATTGCTTCCCCAATATGACTTGGATGTGCAGATTTAGGAATATAGCCCATTGCGCCATGTGCAATTGCACGTTGAATAATGGATGCATCTTCGTGAGCAGAAACCACAATAATAGGAAGTGCAGGATACTGTGCACGAACATGTACCAATGCAGAGAAACCCGATGCGCCTGGCAGATTTAAATCCAACAAGACGAGATCTGGTTCTGGACCATTTTCCAAACGCTCATAAAATTCATTAACAGCCGCAGTTTCACTAATTTGAGCCTGTGGCAAACTATAACGAACCGCCTGAATTAACGCATGGCGAAACAGTGGATGATCATCAACGATTAAAATATTCATAAGCGAAGCGAGAGATCTCTAGCGCAGTTATTTCATTCTAACCGCACTATTGCTATTTAGGATACGTAAATATTAACGAATTTTTGAATAATTTGTCGGCTTTAATTAAAATTCCCTACAATCTTTAGGTCATTTATCGAAATTAAGATTTGAATATCACTTTTAAATATAAAATAAACAGTTAAAAATGAATTACTTATTCATTTTAAGAATATTATTTAACTTCAAATACTTAAAAGACGAAATCGTGCATTATTCAAAGGCTTTCTGGTTTATCTTAAAAACAGATAACCAATCTGTTTTTCATTATTTTACACTGCTTCGTCAAATATAGATTAATGAATGGCATTCCGAGATTCAATTTATTAGGTTGCCAACATGTCTATTTATACTCAACAAAAACCATTAAATATTGTTGCTGTTTCAGGGGGATTAAATAACCCTTCAAAAACCGAAAGTTTAGTGCAAGCGATTTTAGATGAGCTGGGTCAGGCAACACCGATTCATGTTCATTTTATTAAATTCAGTGAAATAGGCCATTTGTTAGGGGGCGCAATTTATCGCAACCAACTGCCACAACGTGTTCAAGATGACTTAGCTGCCGTAGAAGCAGCAGATGCGCTCATCGTGGGAACACCTGTTTATCGTGCATCATTTACTGGTTTATTTAAACATTTCTTTGATTTTGTTGAACAAACAGCGCTAGTCGATGTTCCTGTATTGCTTGCTGCATCGGGTGGTAGTGACCGTCATGCTTTAGTTCTAGAGCATCAGTTACGTCCATTATTTAGCTTCTTTCAAGCGCAAACGCTGCCTATTGGTGTCTATGCAACAGATCGTGATTTTACGCCTGAGTACACCATTAAAAGTGAACACATCCAAGACCGTATCACTTTAGCCGTCGCACGGGCATTGCCAATTTTAGAATGGGCGCCTGCAAAAGGTCAGCGAGCAGAAGTGGTGAAAGCCAAAACGGAACAAGCCAATCAAAATTTAGGTATCAACAAACAGATTGAGCAAGATGATGTGCTTCCTTCCGCGGCGATACCAGACTTGGATGCGGCAGAGTCTCGTCTACATGCAAAATCCAAAACACCACAATCACAGGTTGCTTAAACGCAACCTTGTTATGAATAAATCATAAAAAATTGAGGGTTATGATATGTCACAGTTTTCATCGAATAATGGCCAAGCAATTCGATTTGCCTATTGGGTTCCCAATGTCAGTGGCGGCTTAGTGGTTAGTAATATTGAACAACGTACAGACTGGAGCTATGACTACAATGTACGTTTGGCACAAGCTGCCGAAAAAAGTGGTTTTGAATATGCCCTCACCCAAATTCGTTTTACCGCAGGTTATGGCGCTGAAAATCAACATGAATCTGTGAGTTTTAGTCATGCACTTTTAGCCAAAACTGAAAAATTAAAAGTAATTGCAGCAATTCTTCCGGGACCATGGAAACCTGTTTTAGCCGCAAAACAGTTGGCGACCATAGATTATCTGACCAATGGGCGTATTGCGATTAATGTAGTAAGTGGTTGGTTCCGTGGCGAGTTTGATGCTATTGGTGAGCCATGGCCTGAACATGATGAACGCTATGTTCGCTCAGAAGAGTTTATTCGTACGTTAAAAGGTATTTGGACAACAGATAACTATAGTTTTGATGGTAAATATTATCAGTTTAAAGACTACACTTTAAAACCAAAGCCTTTGCAAAAACCCCATATTGAAGTATTCCAAGGTGGAAGTTCACGTGCTGCACGTGACATGGCTTCGCGTGTTTCAGATTGGTACTTTACCAATGGCAATACACCTGAGGAACTAAAGAAACAAATCGATGATATTCGTGAAAAAGCCAAGCTAAATAATCACTCAGTCAAAATTGGGGTCAATGCTTTTATCATTGCTCGTGACACTGAAGAAGAAGCAAAAGCTGTTCTACAAGAGATTATTGACCAAGCCAATGTTGAAGCAGTCAATGCCTTTGGCGATGCAACCCGTGAAGCGGGCGCAGCATCTAAAGAAGGTGAAGGTAACTGGGCAAAATCAACCTTTGAAGACTTGGTGCAATATAATGATGGCTTTAAAACCAATCTGATTGGTACACCGCAACAAATTGCTGAACGTATTGTTGAACTCAAAAATGTAGGCGTAGATCTGGTGTTATCTGGCTTTTTACATTTCATCGAAGAAGTTGAATATTTCGGTGAAAAGGTCTTGCCTTTGGTTCGTCAAATTGAAGAAGCGCAAAAAGATCAAATTACTGCAAAATCAGCTTAAGGCCTATCTCTTCATCGATGGTGCTGTGAAAACAACAATAAATAACTAAAACAGCTTTGCAGCTTTCCCTCTTGACTCGGCTTGAGGGATTTTTTTTAGAATAAATAAAAAGCATTTATAAAAAATAGAATCGTATAAATCAGTACAATTATCCTTACATACATTAGCCAACTTTTGTTTTATTGAGTGTATTTGTTCTATACATATACTCAACAACCGCAATCTTGGAAAAAATTTCTTTCAACCTTAAAATACGCCCTTTTTGTAGCATAGATGGAAAAAGTAGGTATGGTAGTTTTAAATAAAACAAAAACGATATTTTGCGTCCTCATCGGTAGTATGAGCTTGACGACTTATGTAAATGCCAACGAGATACCTGCAACGTCTATAAAGGTTGAAACTGCGATGAATACTGCATTTCAGCCATTAATGAAAACTTATGCAGTGCCCGGTATGGCAATAGGTGTTTTGTATAACGGAAAAAGTTATGAAAAATACTACGGCGTACAATCACTTGCGAATGCGAAAGCCGTAAATAAAAATACCCTTTTTGAATTAGGCTCAGTCAGTAAGATATTTACTGCAACAGCAGGTACTTATGCACAAAATTTAGGCAAAATTTCTCTTCAAGACCATCCTGGTAAATATATACCCGCATTAAAAAACTCAGACATTAATCAAGTCACACTCTTAGAATTGGCCACCTACACCAGTGGTAATCTTCCATTGCAATTTCCTGATCAAATAAAAACAGATGCACAAACACTTAAATATTTTCAAGATTGGAAAGTCAAAAAACCGATTGGTCAATTTCGACAATATTCTAATCCAAGCATAGGGCTATTCGGTGAAGCGACCGCTAAAGCCATGAACATGCCTTTTAGCGCTTTATTAGAACAAGTGATTTTCCCCAAGCTAGAACTCCAACATACTTATGTCCAAGTTCCTAAAGCACAACAAGGCAACTATGCCTTTGGTTATGATCAAAATAATCACCCGCTTCGGGTCACTGCTCGCGCTTTTGATGCGCAAGCCTATGGGGTGAAATCTAGCCTACCTGACATGCTAAATTTTTTAAATTTAAACTTAAATCCAGATCAAGCCAAAGCAGCGATTAAACCTGCAATTCTAGCGACACATACTGGTTACTTTAAAATGGGTGATATGACCCAAGCCCTTGGCTGGGAATCGTTCAGCTACCCAGCAACATTAAACACACTATTAGAAAGCAATTCTGATCGGGTTGTGATGCAATCTAACCCTGTTGAAAAAACCCTCGTGAAGACTGGTTCAAGAGTCTTTCATAAAACTGGCTCTACCAATGGTTTTGGGACCTATGTTATTTATATTCCACAAGAGAACTTTGGCTTGGTGATGTTAATGAATAAAAAAATTCCCAATGCTGAGCGAATTAAGGCAGCGTATGAAGTGCTCAATAGCTTAAAGCAAAAATCCAATCCTTGATGCTGAAACACATCAGATCGGGCTAGGCTTTAGCTTTGTGCATTGTTAGATCATTCATGTTGTATCTATTGCATGGCAATATAATTGTCGCTGTTGGTAGGGGTATAACAGCTACCCCTTATCCAACACAGTTTTTTTCAATCTAAGCTATGGCAATACCAACGCTAAAGCGCTAGGAATGAACGTCTATAAAATGTCATCGGTCGGCTTAGGTTCAAGCGTAAAAACTTGGATCAGGCACTTTTCCAGTCAATACCCATTCCCCTACTTCCTGATACTTATAATCAATCGGATCATGCAAAGTCTGAGTACGGACATTTCGCCAAAAACGATCTAAATTCAATTTGGCTGTTGTCGCTCTAGCACCCATTACTTGAAAAATATTCTGTGTTATAAACAATGAGCTATTGGTTGCAGCAATTTTTGCAGTCGCAATAGCAATTGAGACTTCACCACGTTGTTCTGCTGTTAATTGCTCACCAATATTCCAAGCCGTTTGCAATGCTGCAATGGCTTTATCGGCAAGTAAACGTACACTTTCAAGCTGTACATAAAACTCAGCAAAATGCTTCTGGGTAAATGGATCATTCACCGCATTTTCAGCCAAAGACGTTGACCATGCTTTCTGACTTTGTATTGTTTGTCTTGCAAGGTCAAAGGCACCTTCAGCAACGCCTAAAAACAGATGCACAAAAATCAATTGCGCGATCAAAGGTCGTAAACTGGAGTAAGGTGTACTTAATGGTCCTGGATTTAACAATAACTCATCTTTGTGAATTTTGACCTGTTCAAAATGACTGGTACCGCTATCTGTTTGGCGCTGCCCCATATTATTCCAATCGCCTAAAAAACTGACCCCTTCTCGACGTGTTGGGATCACAGCTATCAGTAATTTTCCAGCATCATTAAAGCCCGAACAAAGCAGTATGTCTGAATCTATTGATCCTGAGCAAAAGCTTTTATCACCATGAAAAATAAAGTCGTTCTCAGTGAGTTGTTGTACCTTCGTGCGCTGATCTAAAGGGTTTAAAGTATTGCCCCAAAACAAGTTATTGCGGGCGGTGTGTTCAAACCATGACGAATATTGTTCAGGCTGAGCAAATAACTGCACAGTGGCGATTAGTAAATGATGAAAGCCATATACATGTGCTAAGGAACTATCGACTTGTGCAATACTTTGAATGGTCTGGAAAATTGTTTTCCAGTTTGCTCCTTGCCCGCCATATTGTTGTGGAATAGACAGTCCCAATAAGCCACTTTGCCGAATCAAATCCCGTTCCAGCTTCGGATTACCACCTGCTTTATCACGCTCAGCAGCAGTCTGCGCAAATTGTTCTGCCAATTGCTTTGCCGTTGCTAAAGCAGAAAGGTTTAACGCCTGTTGAGGTGCATTCATCATATTTACTCTTATTCCCAGTGCCTTGAGCTTATCAAATCAAGTAAGATTTCCTTATCTCAATGCCTGCATTACTTATTCTGTGGTTTGAAAATCAATAACAAAAAATACCGCTAGAATTTCTCTAACGGTATTCAACCTTTGGCTAGCAAAATCAAGAGACTTCAATCACTAAGAATTGGCATTAACCTCTGTAATCAACTGATCTACCACACCGGGATCAGCCAAAGTAGAAGTATCGCCTAAACTATCTAACTCATTGGCAGCAATTTTTCTTAAAATACGTCGCATGATTTTTCCAGAACGGGTTTTTGGCAAAGCAGGTGCCCAATAAATTGCATCAGGTGTTGCCACAGGTCCCAGCACTTTACGTACCCAATTGACCAATTCTTTACGTAATTCTTCAGTTTCAGCTTCACCCGCCTGCAAGGTCACATAGGCCGCTATGCCTTGCCCTTTAATCTCATGTGGCATACCAACAACTGCAGATTCAGCGACTTTTGCATGCGCAACCAAGGCACTTTCAATTTCAGCAGTGCCCAAACGGTGGCCCGAAACATTCAAGACATCATCTACACGACCCGTAATCCAGTAATAACCATCTTTATCACGACGCGCACCATCACCAGTAAAATAACTGCCTGGATAGGTTGAGAAATACGCTTCAATAAATCGCTCAGGATCGCCCCAAATGGTCCGCATTTGCCCCGGCCAAGAATTCTTAATAATCAAATTGCCTTCTGCTTCACCTTCAAGTTCTTGACCCTCAGCATCAACCAATGCTGGTTGTACGCCAAACAATGGACGAGTGGCCGAACCCGGTTTAAGTGGGGTTGCACCCGGCAGTGGAGAAATTAAAATACCGCCTGTTTCAGTTTGCCACCATGTATCCACAATTGGACAACGGCTTTCACCCACAACGGTATAGTACCAATTCCATGCTTCTGGATTAATCGGCTCACCCACGGTACCCAATAGACGCAAACTGCTACGGTCACTTTCACGCACAAAAGCATCACCCTCACGCATCATCGCGCGGATCGCTGTTGGTGCAGTATAGAGAATGGTAATGTTATGCTTATCTACAATATGCCCTGTGCGTGCCCATGTTGGATATTGTGGGATACCTTCGGACATGACCGTGGTTGTACCATTGGATAATGGTCCATAAAGCACATAAGAATGCCCCGTAATCCAACCCACATCTGCGGTACACCAGAACACATCATCTTGTTTAATATCAAAAACTTCACGGAAAGTTGAATTGACATAAGTTAAATAACCACCCGTAGTATGTAACACTCCTTTAGGCTTTCCTGTTGATCCAGACGTATATAAAATAAATAAAGGATCTTCGGCATTCATCGGTTCTGGCGGACAGATATCTGTGACCGTCATAATTTCCATGTGATACCACAGGTCACGCCCCTCCTGCATTGTTATTGGATGGCCTGTTCGATGCACCACAATCATTTTTTCAACGGAAGTGGTTCCATCCAGCGCCAATGCTGCATCTACATTCTCTTTTAAAGGAATCGTTTTACCACCACGCATACCTTGGTCAGCGGTAATCACCAATTTAGCTTGACTGTCGTCTATCCGACTTGCCAATGAGTCTGGAGAGAATCCACCAAATACCACACAATGCACTGCCCCTATTCGGGTACATGCCAGCATGGCAATCGCCGCTTCAGGGATCATCGGCATATACAAAATGACTCGATCACCTTTCCCGATTCCATTTTTCTTTAAGACATTGGCAAAACGACACACTTCATCATGCAGTTCTTCAAAAGAAATGATTTTATGGCGAGATGGATGATCCCCCTCCCAAATAATTGCAGGTTTCAGTGGGTGTTCTTTTAAATGACGATCTAAACAGTTGGCACTGACATTCAGTTGCCCATCTGCAAACCATTCAATTTTAAAATTATCTTTGTCGTAGCTGGTATTTTTTACTTGAGTAAATGGCTTAATCCAGTCCAATTTCTTTGCAGCTTCTGCCCAAAACTCATCTGGATGCTCGACTGACTGTTGATAACGTTCAAAGTATTCTTGTTCATTAGTCCTTGCTGTTTTAACAAATTGTTCTGGAACTGGATAGACTTCATTCATATTCTGCTTCCTTGATTTGCCACCTCATCACGAGATGTATGCCTACGTTCTTGATTTTATTTGCTGCATGTGTTCAGTATTACGATAGCGCATTTCGGTTAACAATTGTGCTTTGGTCGTAGACACGGGGGTCACTTTAACCATCGGAAAATCTTAAGTCATTTGCCAAAATATTCGAATTTTCAATATCTATGGAGTTTTTTTGATCTTATAATTTGTAGTCAGAAGTGCATATGGTTTTTTTCAGAAAAAAACATTTCCTTACCGAACTCATTCAACTGGACGCGATCGCCATGCAAATACAAGAATCGTCGACTTTTTTTTCAAAGCATCAAGTATCACCAGTAGATCATCCCCTTTCTACTCAAGGCCGCTTTAATCGTTTGAGTTATATTGCTTGGTTTGGATTTTTGCATCTCATTTTTACCATTGCATTGCTTGTCCTCGGTCTAGTCTTTGGCATTGTGAATTTACATTCACTGCAATTCAGCCAACATGCGATAAATTCGATTTCAGGATTAGGACAGTTCACTTACCTCGCACTCAGCTGTCTTTATTTATATGGAATGATGGTTGTGATTATTCGCAGGCTGCATGATCGTAATAAATCTGGTTGGTTTATTCTGTTATTGCTGATTCCCATTGTGCAATTCTTGATGCTGCTGTATTTACTCCTTGCACGTGGTTGTAATCGCGCCAATCGTTTTGGTCACCCACGCCCATCAACTTTTATTGAAAAATTAATGGCTTGGCTGATGCTAATAGGCTTTATCATCAGCTTAGTTAGCTCTATAAGTGTGGTGTCATTTATGATTGGGACTGGAGAAATTGAAAATCCAACAACAATCATTGAAAAAGGGACTAAATATTTTTAAGGAGAATTAATCCTTAATGATGCCTTAACATGAGTTGAATATTGATTCACAAATATTATTTTTATTTGTTCGTCATAAGAAAAACTGTAATCAAAGCTTAACTTCTTTGAAATTTCAGGCAAAATATGCCAATTATTTTATTGGACATGATTGTGGCTGAAGAAGCAAATGCATTGAGTACCGTTGCGCAAGACACGACTCAATTGATCCATTCTGCAGGCGAAAAAACTGCACAAACAGTGATTCAACATACTGAAAAATATAAAGATGCATACTCAACCATCGACAAGTTTGTTGATGGTTTTTGGGAGCGTATGCCATATTTATGTATTGCGCTGATCGTCATCACTATTTTCTGGTTGTTGTCTAAGCTTTTTAAATTCTTTGTCCGTAGAACACTCGAAAACCGTACTTATACTCGCCAAAATTTAGTTCTGGTACTGAATCGTGTCGGCAGTACCGCAATTATCTTTTTTGGTTTCTTAATTGCCATGGTTATCGCAATTCCAGGCTTTACTCCTGCTCAACTGATGAGTGCTTTGGGGATTGGTTCGGTCGCGATTGGTTTTGCATTTAAAGATATTTTCCAAAATCTACTTTCTGGAATTTTGATTCTTTTGGGTGAACCGTTCAAGATTGGTGATGACATCATTGTCAACAATATGGAAGGTACTGTCGAAGATATTCAAATTCGTGCAACTTTTTTACGTTCCCCTGATGGACGACGTATCGTGATTCCAAACGCAACTGTGTATACCAGTGCCGTGACGGTAAATACCGCTTACCAACGCCGTCGTTGTGAGTTTGTGGTTGGGATTGGTTATGAAGATGATGTACAGAAAGCCAAAGACATTATTCTTAAATTGCTTGATAAAGATCAACGTATTTTAAGCCAGCCGGGCTTTACTGTGAATGTTTCTGCTTTGGCGGATTTCTCTGTCAATTTAACCGTTCGTTGGTGGGTAGATACCACGCAAGTGGTTACTGCGGCTTCGATCAGTGAAATTCAAGAACGTGTGCTTGAAGCCTTTGCGGATAATAATATTTCGATTCCTTATCCTGTTCAGGAAGTCAAAGTCTACCGCGGTGATCCATCAGCGGATGACATCGAATCAGCTCGTGCTAAATAAGCGCCCCAATACATAAGGGATCGCGGTTTCAGTACGCAAAATACGGTTGCCTAAGCTCACTGCTTGGCAGCCGTTTTTTATCAGTAAATCCACCTCATAAGGTATAAAACCCCCTTCAGGTCCAATGATCACAGTACATGAATGATCGATAGCAAATGGCATTTTCTGTTCAGTATACGGATGCGCCACATAAGCAGGATTTTGTGGCGTAATGAAGCTAGGTAAGACATCTTCAACAAAGGGTTTAAAGCGTTTGTAAAGTTCAATTTGAGGAGCGATGGTATCCCCCGCCTGTTCTAATCCCAAGGTAATGTAATGATCAATTTGCTGTAAAAAAGGGCTTTGCCAATAACTTTTATCAACGCGATAACTATGAATCAAAATTAATTTTTCTACCCCCAGTGTCACCGCATCCATAATTAAGCGGCGTAACACTTTGGGGCGTGGTAATGCCACAATTAAAGTTACGGGCAATTTTGCTGGAACAGGCTCTTCTTGAATCGGTCGAAGTAAAATCGTATGTTCTGAAATATCAACAATTTCAGTTAAATAACGACTGGCACCCCGAACGCCAACCTTAAGCGTATCTCCAACTTTGGCAGCAAGATGCGTGTGCAAATGTTCAACTTGCCTTTTTGAACTGATTGTCCAAGTTTCAGCTTGTGTTTGACGAGGATCAAGAAGGACGATGTTCATAAAAAATTCTGGTTCTTTTTACTTTTAGCTGATGGTGTTTATTCATCAACAATGTATAAATTATAAATACTGATCAATCACTGCAATATGTTTGTATAAAGAACCCTGATTACGCTTTAAAACATCAATCGCATGCTGGCTTAATTGCTGGGCAAAAGCTTGATCTTCCAAACAGCGCACCAATAACTGAACCACCTCATCAACAGTTTGCCCCACTTTTAAGGCATCTGCCTGTAAGAACTCATCCACAATGGCTTGAAAATTAAAATAATGCGGTCCAATCACGGTGGGTACATCTAAAACCATAGCTTCTAAAATATTATGTCCACCACCGGGTTCATTTAACGACCCACCAACAAAACATGCCTGACTCAATGCATACCACAGCCACATTTCACCCATACTGTCTGCCAAATAGACTTGGGTATTCGACTCGATTACTTGCTCTAAACTACGGCGCTGTGTGGTTAAATTTAAACTTTGTGCAGCAGCAAAAACCTCATCAAAACGTTCAGGATGGCGCGGGACAACGATCAACAACCAATCTGGATATTGTTCTAAATAGGTTTTAAATGCGAGAAATAATTTTTCTTCTTCAGGTGCATGTGTACTGGCGATAGTAATGATTTTTCGATTTGCTAAGTTCCAGTCCTGCTGCAACTGTTGTGCTTTATGGATAAATTGTTCAGGTGCAGAAATATCAAATTTAATACTTCCAAGTACTTGTGTTTTATCTTGCGGCATACCCAGATCAATAAAGCGTTGCTGCGTTGCAACATCTTGCGCCAATAACTGATCTAATTTCTGTAGCATTGGACGGGTCAGGCTTGGAACTTTAGCATAGCCTTTGGCAGATTTTTCTGAAAGCCGTGCATTCACTAAAATACAAGGCACTTTAAACTGTTGAGCTTGGTCAATAAGATTTGGCCATAGTTCAGTTTCAACCAAAATCAGTAATTTGGGTTGGTATTTCTGATAAAAATCAGCAACTAAATAGCGCTGATCAGCAGGCAAATATACCGCTTGAAATAATGCTTGATAAGGTGCTTTTAAGAATAACGATTTGGCACGTGCTTGGCCTGTTTTTGTCGTATTGGTGACTAAAACAGCATGACCTGCTTTTAAATAATGTTCGATTAAAGGCTGAGCAGCATTGGTTTCTCCGACTGAAACACAATGAAACCAAATGGCATGCTGATTCTTTACATCTTGAAAGGGGCCAAAGCGCTCAAGACATTCTTGTTGGTATTCTGCGCTATCTTTCGCACGTTTTTTGATACGCCATTGATACAAAGGCTTAACGATTTTAAGTGCTGTGTTATACCAAAAAGGAGTAGCCAAACAGAATGTCTCAATATAGATGAATGGGCAAATATAACAGAGCCATATTCAGTTGTTAATGAATAATATTTAACGATTTGTTGTCAGCAAGGTAGTCGACCGCATGCTAGAGCAAATCTGATCCATCAACCAGCAACAACGCTAGCAAAACTTGGCTTTACAGGGATGAAAAAACGCTTATTGGTAAAAGGTAGTGTTGTACGCCTTAACCAATGGCGATATCCATGCCATGTACAATAGATATGCCTTGTAAGAGTCAACGATACAAAAAGAAAACTGGTTAAATTTATCTGAGTTGTGGATGTGAATGGGTATTCCATTCACATCCAGAGAAAATACAGTCTTTGTTTTATCCCAAAGCAGGATAATCAATATAGCCTTCCGCAGTTTGTGAACCAATCATATTTTCAAACACCAATTCATTTAAAGGTGCGTCTTGAATCAAACGTTCATACAAATCAGGATTGGCAATATAAGCTTTACCGAAAGACACCGCATCTGCTTGACCTGATGCCAAGAGTTTGATGGCATCTTCACGACTTAAACGCATATTAGCAATATATGGCACACCGTTTGAACGTCGCTTCATATATTCGCTGATACTGTCATCGGCTAAATATTCACGTGTAAAGAAGAACGCAATTTTACGTTTACCTAATTGTTCCAAGACATAACCAAAGGTTTCACGTGGATCAGCATCCCCCATATCATGCTCATCACCGCGAGGCGCTAAATGTATGCCCACTCGGCCTGCACCCCATACTTCAATTAAAGCATCCATCACTTCAAGTAAAAGACGTGCGCGGTTTTCAACAGAACCACCATATTCATCTTCACGGTGATTGGTTGAACTTTGTAAGAACTGATCAATCAGGTAGCCGTTGGCAGCATGTAATTCAACGCCATCAAAACCAGCCGTCTTGGCTTTAATTGCAGCTTGTTTAAACTGTTCGGTGATGTTATGAATTTCAGAGATTTCCAAAGGTCGTGGCACAACATAGTCACGTTTTGGACGTAATAAGCTGACTTGTCCTGCTTGTTGTATTGCACTTGCAGATACAGGCGTTTCCCCATCGAGTAAATCTGGATGTGAGACACGTCCCACATGCCATAACTGCGCCACAATCAAACCACCTTGGTCATGAACCGCTTGGGTTACAGACTTCCAGCCCTCAACTTGCGCATCGGTAAATAGCCCTGGTGTATTTAAATAACCATTGGCTTGTTCTGAAATCACTGTTGCTTCAGAAATGATTAAACCTGCACTGGCACGCTGTGCATAGTGCTCAGCCATGATTGCCGTGGGTACCCGATCAGCGGTAGCACGGCTACGGGTTAAAGGCGCCATCACGACACGATTTTTTAAATGTAAATCGCCAAGTACAAGGGGAGAGTTAAGTTCAGCCATATTTGCCTCATCACTCGCTTTCTGATTGAAATCAGGCGTTAAAGCGAGTTTTGTAGATAATCAATATATTGCTGAATTAAAGCTTCATTACGCGAGAAATATGACCATTGACCATATTTCTCGGCCTGAATTAATCCTGACTGTTGCAAAACAGACAAATGATTTGACATCGTAGATTGAGAGACCTTACCGAGCTTCTCGATATTCCCTGCACACACACCACGACCAAAGCCACCGCACTGCTCTTCCGACAAATATTGTTGTGGCTTCTTGAGCCATTCCAAAATCTGTCGGCGAGTCGGATTCGCTAATGCTTTAGAAATTAAATCAATATCCATCTTAGACACATTCAATTCAGAGCAAAGCTCCATTCAGCATCTTTGCATCCAATATATCGCATTTTTTCGATTTTAATATCGATTTTTTTAGATATATTGCAAAAATACAGATAAAGCTTTGCTTTTGTTAAAAATTTAAATTAAAGACCTTGTTTTAAGCTGGCTTCAATAAATTTATCTAGATCGCCATCCAATACTGCACCCGTGTTCGAGTTCTCAACACCAGTACGCAAATCTTTAATACGAGAGTCATCCAGTACATATGAACGAATCTGACTGCCCCAGCCAATATCCGATTTTGAATCTTCAAGTGCTTGAGCAGCTTCATTACGTTTACTCATTTCCAATTCGTACAATTTTGCACGTAATTGTTTCCAAGCATGATCACGGTTTGCATGTTGTGAACGCTGGTTCTGACATGCCACCACAATCCCAGTTGGTGCGTGAGTCAAACGTACTGCTGAGTCAGTTTTGTTAATATGCTGGCCGCCTGCACCAGATGCACGATATGTATCTGTACGCACGTCAGCAGGATTAATATCAATTTCAATATTATCGTCCACTTCAGGTGATACAAATACTGCCGAGAATGAGGTATGACGGCGATTACCTGAGTCAAATGGTGACTTACGCACTAAACGGTGTACGCCAGATTCGGTACGTAACCAACCATAAGCATACTCGCCTTCAACACGGATTGTTGCAGATTTAATCCCTGCAACATCACCATCTGATTCTTCCATCAATTCTGCTTTAAAGCCATGACGTTCGATCCAACGCATATACATACGTAACAGCATTGAAGCCCAATCTTGTGCTTCAGTACCGCCTGAACCAGCTTGAATTTCCACATAACATGGATTTGGGTCCATTGGATTACTAAACATACGACGGAATTCAAGTTTTGCTAACTCTTCTTCCGCTGCAGTCAATTCCGACTGAACATCTGCCAATAAGCTTTCATCATCTGCTTCAACAGCAAGATCAAGCATGGCTTGTGCATCATCAAGCTGTGTCGCCAAGCCTTCTAAAACGTTGATCACGTTTTCAAGCTCGCCTTTTTCTTTTGCCATCGCCTGAGCACGGCTTTGATCATTCCAGATCGCTGGATCTTCTAACTCGCGGAGAACCTCTTCTAAACGCTCTTTCTTTAGATCGTAGTCAAAGATACCCCCGTAGTGTTAGACCACGGTCATTTAAGTCTTTTAGCTGAACTAGATAAGGATTAATTTCCACGAGTTTTAATCTCACATTTGACGTCTTTTAATTCGCACGCATTCTACCACAGAGTGGAAAAAGTTGAGATATGGCATTTTATAGATCAATCTACAGCTCAAAAATGCTGTAACAAGAGAAGTAAGATGAATTACTTTTTTGCAATCAGAAAGATCGTCTTATCGTAGTCAAAGCTTGTGTTTATAAATTCTACACTTGATCATTTGCTTAAGAGTATTTTAATTTCTGAAAGCTTTTTTATTACAAATTATGTCCAACCCTTACTCAAAGCGTACCAATATCCACACTATCTACACAATTTTAATAAAACAACACATAAGTTTTATACATTTATTTTCAATAACTTAAATTAAAATTGTTACATAAACTCACTAATATTACATTCCGGTTACCATAGCATGGTTGACGATTTTTATATTTGCCCTAGACTCAAAATTGTAACTAAACATGTATAAATCAATCAATTCTTCATAGGGGCGAATTCCATGAAAAAATTAGCAATCGCATCTGCAATCTTTTCCGTAGCCGCTTTAACTGGCACTGCACATGCTTACCAAGCCGAAGTTGGTGGTTCATATACATATAATGATCCAGATAATTTTGATGCAACTCATAGCTTTGGTGTAGATGGTACTTATTATTTCAAACCAGTACAAACTCGTAATTCACCACTTAATGAGGCTGCATTCTTAGATCGCGCAAGTAATGTAAAAGCCAATGTAAATTATGCCAAAAATGATGGTGTAAAAGACAGCCAATATGGTGCGGGTCTTGAATACTATGTACCTAACTCAGACTTCTATGTAAGTGGTCGTGTAGGTCGTGATGAACTTGAAGTTGATAACACCAACATCGACAATAAAGTAACGACTTATGGCGCTGAAGTCGGTTATTTACCAGCTCCTGGTTTATTACTTGCACTTGGTGTAACGGGTTATGATGTTAAAAATGGTGATGATGGCGCAGACCCAACTGTACGTGCTAAATATGTAACCAAAGTAGGTCAATATGACGCTAACTTTGAAGCTTTTGGTGCATTCGGGGACTTGGATGAGTACAAAGTACGTGGTGACTTGTATTTAGATAAGACTTTAAGTGTAGGTGCTGACTACTACAACAATGATTTAACTGATCGTGATGAATGGGGTATTTCTGCGAAGAAATTCTTTAATCAAAACGTTAGCTTAGAAGGTCGTGTAGGTTTTGGTGATGACTACAACACTTACGGCGTTCGTGCTGGATACCGTTTCTAAGTTTAAATCCAATTAGCAATCGCTCTTTTGGAGCAACAAAAGCCAGTCAATTGACTGGCTTTTTTATATCTGTATACATCATTAAGTAAATACGTTTTATTAAATTTGTAGTAAATGTCAGAATATTAAAATTCTTTTAAACACTTCTAAAAATTGTCTTCATCAAACCGATCTTGATCTATCTTATAAATATTAAAGCTTCTTTCAACCTGAACACCTAAACCAAATTCAATCATTAAAGAAGTCAATTTATCTCCATCAATTAAAACAATTCCCGATTTCTTTGCAGATTCAACAGCCTCCTTACTAAAATTTGAGGTTGTAATAAACACCCCTTTTTTAGCGACTTGATCTGCTAAAGCGCCTTTAAATTGTTGAATATCTGGTCGTCCAACAGTGTTTTTCCAACGTTTGGCTTGAATATAAATTTTATCTAGACCTAAACGATCTTCACTAATAATTCCATCAATCCCGCCGTCACTTGTTTTACCAATGGCTTGGGCCGCATCTTGATGTGAGCCGCCATAGCCCATAGCAACCAGTAAATCGACAACTAATCTTTCAAAAAAATATGGATTTTTTGTCTGAATCAAATTCAATAAATCATCTTTTAAATTGGTAAGTAGCATTTCATTAATTCTTTGTAATGATTCCTCAGGTGTTTCAATATCATCATTTTCTTCAATACAAATAATCTTTTCTTTATTCTGCCTTATTTTTGTTGGAACCTTGAACTCACGAAAACTTTCATAACGCATTAAAAAATTATTATCTATTTTATCTAATATATTTAAATCTAATTTTTTCGCTTCTTCAGATAATTCACACATCCCCCAATCAGGCTGATTAACTAAGCCTGCTTTAACCAAATATGTTTTGGCCCATCCCACACGATCATAAAAAACTGTTCTTTTCCCACTCGGAATCATTTGATTTAATTCATCTGTAGTCAAATTTGATTGTTCTGCCAACAATTTACCAACTTGACTAATTTGGATCGCTTGCCCTTGCGTATTGAGGAGTTTCAATAGTGGTAGCATTAATTCCTGATGATTAGGCAAAGACATTCTATTTCTCTTAATATTTTTTGCTTTAAATAATTCAAGTATAAAAGAAAAAGAGCGCCTAAGCGCTCTTTTTAAAAGGAAATCTGGATAGAAATCCCTAACTGCCGCGGGCACGGCCCTTGGCGTAATTCAGGCAAGAAGCTTCGCTTCTTGAAATCCCTGAATTACTCCCATTCAATTGTTGCTGGTGGTTTAGAAGAAACGTCATACACCACACGAGAAACATCTTTAATTTCATTCATGATACGTGTCGAGATTTTATCAACCAACTCATATGGAAGATGAGCAAAACGAGCTGTCATAAAGTCAACAGTTTCCACGGCACGAAGTGCAATGACCCATGCATAACGACGGCCATCACCCACAACACCCACCGATTTTACTGGTTGGAATACTGCAAATGCTTGTGCAGTTTTATCATACCAACCACTTGCACGAAGCTCTTGCATAAAGATGTCATCAGCAAGACGAAGAATATCAGCATATTCTTTTTTCACTTCACCCAAGATGCGCACGCCCAAACCTGGACCTGGGAATGGATGACGATAAAGCATTTCATGTGGTAAACCTAAAGTTGTACCTAAACGACGTACTTCATCTTTAAATAGGTCACGAATTGGCTCAACCAATTCAAATGCTAAATCTTCTGGTAAACCACCCACATTATGGTGTGATTTAATCACATGCGCTTTACCATTTTTAGTTGCCGCAGACTCAATCACGTCAGGGTAAATCGTACCTTGCGCAAGGAAGTTTACGCCATCAAGCTTACGCGCTTCTTCAGCAAAAACTTCGATGAATTCACGACCAATGATTTTACGTTTTTTCTCAGGATCAACTTCGCCTGCAAGTGCAGATAAGAAACGTTCTTCTGCATCAGCACGAATCACACGGATCCCCATGTTTTTCGCAAACATGTCCATCACTTGCTCACCTTCGTTTAAACGAAGTAAGCCATTGTCTACAAATACACAGGTCAGTTGGTCACCGATTGCTTTATGCAACAATGCTGCAACTACAGATGAGTCAACACCACCTGAAAGACCTAAAAGAACTTTTTGATCACCAATTTGTTCACGTAATTGTTCAACACGTAAATCAATAATGTTTTCAGAATTCCAAAGATTACGACAACCACAAATGCTGTGAACGAAGTTAGACAGTAACTCTGCGCCTTTGGCAGTATGTGTCACTTCTGGGTGGAATTGCACCCCGTAGAAACGGCGCGTTTCATCACTCACTGCAGCAAATGGGCAGCTTGGTGTGCTTGCAGTCACTTTAAAGCCTGCTGGAATCGCAGAAACTTTGTCACCGTGGCTCATCCAAACATTGAGTTTGTCATCACCATCATTTAAATCACCAAGCAATTGATCACGTACTAAAACGTCAACTGCTGCATAACCAAATTCATGTACAGTACCTGGCTCTACTTTACCGCCAAGTTGTTCTGACATGGTTTGCAGACCATAGCAGATCCCCAATACAGGTACACCCAAGTTGAACACAACTTCTGGCGCACGTGGACTACCTTCCTCATGCACACTTTCAGGACCACCAGACAAGATGATACCGTTCGGATTAAACGCGCGAATGTCTTCTTCAGACATATCAAAAGCATACATTTCAGAATATACACCAGCTTCACGTACACGGCGTGCAATAAGCTGGCTATATTGAGAACCGAAATCCAAGATAAGGATACGATCTTCAGTAATTTGAGTATTGGTAGTCATGAGTCAACAACTATGCAGGCAAACGAATATAAGCGCCATATTCTATCATTTTTATAAGCCGTACGCACTCCATTCAATCAAGTTCCTTAGCTTTCTAAAAAATCATTTTAAATAATCAGCTTATAGGTTCATTTTGGCTTTAATGATGCTAATCAGTTCACTGGGGGTCATACAGCGATTTAAAAAATCTTCTAAGGAGCCTTCGTCGGTCACTTCTGTAAAAAACACCTCATGATCTGTGCCAAATAATGTTGGATTTTCAGGGTCTGGATCAGACAAGCAGATATAGTATCGATCAGGAAAGCTATAACGATAAAACAACTGTAGAAAATCAGGTTTTGGATTTTGGGTCAGCTGAATCACTGCTTTGAGATCAATATCATCCTCTAAAAAATCACGGTTCCATTCATCAAAATCAGCTGTACCAGCTTGATATGGAGTAAAGTGCACAGCTTGCCAAAAGGTTTGTCCGCGCCCTTCTTCTGTTAACTGATAATACTCTTGAATCAGTTGATTAAAAAATCCATCTGGATTTAGATCTAGCTCGGCTTGATGTTGATCAATATAGTCACCCAAACCATAAATTGGTTCTTGATCATCGGCTGCCGCCCAAGGTGTATCCTGAGGCCGTTCATATAAAACGGTATTAAAGGTGATAGCGCACAGGTCATCAACCCATGACACACCTTTGACTTGATCAACATCACCGCCCAGTGCTTTTATTCTGTCTAGAATTTCTTTTTTCATTGTTAAAACTGAATTGAATATTTTTAGATAGCATAAACCAATTGATCCATTTGAATAGTGCTAAATGAAGACACACAAAAGCCAGATACAGATCTGGCTTTTCAAAACTTTATTTATGTTTAAATTATTTTTCTATTACATGATCAAGACTCAATTTCCCAGCACCATGCAACATCAAGAAAAACAAACCACCTGCCATTGCGAAGTTTTTCATAAAGTTAATTGCATCTGCTTCACCACCATGAAATAGGAATGCAGTAATCAAACTAAATACGCCCAAACCAAATGCTGCAAAGCGTGCCTGAAAACCAAATAACAATGCCAAACCACCACCGAACTCAACCAGAATGGTTAAAGGTAACATGGCACCTGGTACACCCATTGATTCCATATAACCGACAGTTGCACTGTAAGCCGTGATTTTGCCCCAACCTGCAACAAGAAAGATATATGCCATAAGAATACGTGCAATCAATGCAATGCTCGCATTGGCGGTGGGTTGATTCACAATATTTTTAACAACAACATTTGGATTAAACATGGTCTGACCTAATTTGTATTTCGTTCTGAAGATGTATACATATTAATCACTAAACATTTCAAGTTAAATACTTAAAAACTAAACTCATCGTTGCAAATTAAGAACAATAATAAGTTTTAAAAATTTACTTTTTAATACTGACTTTCATAACTCACACTGCTAGGATTTGTGCACCAATTCGCATAGTTTCTGCCTTATGGATCTGATTGACTTTATTTTGCACGTAGACGAACACCTGTTTGAATTTATTAGAAATTATGGTATCTGGGTGTATGGAATTTTATTCCTGATTATTTTTGTTGAAACAGGTCTCGTGGTGATGCCATTCCTGCCTGGGGATAGCTTACTTTTTGCTGCCGGCGCTTTAGCTGCTTCGACGGGTGCAATGGATCCTGTGGTTTTAATCATTCTGCTATTTATTGCGGCAGTGCTCGGCGATACCCTCAATTATCATATCGGGAAATATGTCGGACCGCGTGTTTTTGAAATTGATTCTAAATTTATCAACAAACAACACTTGCTGAAAACATCACAGTTTTTTGAAAAACATGGTGGAAAAACTATTATCTTTGCCCGTTTTATCCCTTTTGCCCGCACTTTTGCACCATTTGTTGCGGGTGCAGGAAGCATGAATTATAAATATTTCTTAACCTATAATGCAGTCGGTGCAATTTGCTGGGTTGGCTCGTTTATTACCTTGGGGCAGCGGTGGCTGGGGTTGGGGGATTGGTCCAAGTATTTCTGTAAATTTAGGGCAATCTTCAAATACCAAAAATACTGAGCTTTCCCGACTGTATGGTGAGCAAGATGCCTTGTCTCAGGCGGCTCAATTTAAGAACTGCCCTTACGTCCCTAAACGTCAGGAAGTTAAAAAATAACGGATTTTACCCCATAAAAAAGCCGATTTTAGAAATCGGCTTTTTTATCAGCTTTAAATATGCTGTTTATTGACTGTTTGGCATTTTATTTTTATTAAAAAACTGAATTGAATATTTTTAGATAGCATAAACCAATTGATCCATTTGAATAGTGCTAAATGAAGACACACAAAAGCCAGATACAGATCT